ATATTATATCAAGTATTGTTGCAATAAGGAAGGTTGGAGAAGAGGTAGCGAGAATAACCCTGATAATGCAGGTGTTGTTGATACGAATGTTCGTGTTCGTAATGTTCCAGAACTCAGGGGTGGATGTAATGGTGCTTATATACGAATGAGGTGGGTTAAAGAGTTTAAATGCTACAAGATCTATCGTTGGTATAATGTGCACAACCATGATATGATTCCTGAGTCTCTGCGTCACTATGTGAGATCCAGCAGACGAATGGCTCCTGTGTATAAGATGTTGGCAGAGGTGAATGATGCTGCTGGTATTGGTGTGACTTCTTCGTATAATGCAATTAGTAGGGCTGGTGGTGGTCGGAAGTTTGTTGGGTTCACAAAGAATGATTTGAAGAACCATCTGCGAACGGTGAGGACGTTATCAATGGAGTATGGTGATGCGACTGCATTGCTTGAATACTTTAGACGTCAAGCACAGCTGGATCCTGGGTTCTTTCATGAGGTGGAGGTTGATGTTGAAGAGAACATTGCTAGTATTTTTTGGGCAGATGGGAAGATGAGGATGGATTATCATTATTTTGGTGATTCAATTAGTTTTGATACTACTTACCGGACTAACAAAGAGTATCGGCCACTAGGTATGTTTTTGTAGTTTGTTGTTTATTATTGTCTTTGTGAGTTTGTATGATTATTATTATCATCCTGTATCATGGTTTGCTTTTTTGTTCTTAAAAGTATTTTACCATATGGTATGTGTTGGTAACAAGGTTATTTGAGGTGGTTTTTGCGTTGTTAGAAGTCTGTACCATATGGTATGGGCTGGTATGGATTGTGTTTTTGTTCTTAATAGTCTTTTACCATATAGTATGGGTTGGTAACAAGGTTATTTGAGGTGGTTTTTGCGTTGTTATAAGTCTGTACTATATGGTATAGTCTGGTATGGATTTTTTTTTTTTGTTGTTCTTAGAAGTCTTTACCATATGGTACGGATTGGTATTATTGTTATTCGTACCTTTTACCACATGGTATGTGTTGGTAGAATTGTTTTTACTCACATTTTCTTATGTTTTTGTAGCTTTGTTTGTTGGTTTCAACAATCATCACCAACTGACTGTCTTTGCGGCTGCTCTTCTATATGATGAAACAACGGCAACATTTGAATGGCTTTTCGATCAGTTTTTGAAATGCATGGGAGGTGTGAGACCGTTATCAATGTTTACTGACTAGGCTGCTGCAATTGATGCTGGTATAAGGTCTGTTTTCCCAGATTGTTTTCATGGGTTGTGTACATGGCATATTGCTCAGAATGAGTTGTTAATCTGGGAAGTTTGTGTGACTCTGAATTCCTTCGTGAGCTTAGTTATTTGATGTATAATGCTGATGATGAGGATGATTTTGAGTATAATTGGAAGAAGATGATTGAGAAGTGTTTTCTGGGAAGGGGCCTTTGGGACACAGTTGGTTACAGGGCATTTACAAAGTCAGGAAGAAGTGGTCTTCAGCCTGGGTGAATAATTATTTTGGTGCAGGAATGAAGAGTACCCAGCTAAGTGAGTGCTGCAATAGTAATATTCGACATTACTTGCAGTCAGAGTTTAGCGTTAGTAGATTCTTTGTGCACTTTGAGAGGATGCTGGATAATAAGAGGGATGCTGAAGAACAAGAAGAGTACTATGCCTTATCTAGGTTGGCTGATTCTCGGTTTTCTACTAGCCCTATTGTGAAGCAAGTTGCTAATGTGTATACGCCGAAGATATTCAAGTTTTTCCTGGATCAGTACAAGGAATCACTTGCGTATAATATTTTTTCAAATACAGAGATAGAACCAGAAGGACATGTAGGAATGTTTGATGTCTTCCTATTGGAGGATGACCTTACTAGGTTGGATAGTAGGGTGTTGAAGGTTGATTTTGATAACGGTGAAATCAAGTGTTCCTACCGTAAGTGGGAGTCAAGTGGTTTGATCTGTAAGCATCAAATTAAGGGATATGATATGTTGTGGTCTACAACATGCAATCTGAAGTTCCAGCACATTCCTAGCAGTTTGATTTTGAAGCGGTGGACAAGAGCAGCAAAAACTGGAGGGAACTTTTCTTTTGAAGTTCTGTCTACTGATAGTCCATCGAAATACCGTTCTCGTCTTTTCAATCTGTCAGCTGTTTCTGCATCAATGATCAGCAGGGTTTCAATGGATGATGATTTGTATAAATCAGCCATGGCCTTCATGACTGATTTGATCAAAAAGTGTGAAGCCCTATCGATTAATGAACCTGCTGGAACAAGCACGTCTTCTAACGGTGACAGTAAGTTTTTAATTGTTTATAGTTTTGTGTTCTGATATATGCAATTTTTTGAGGAGAATGATTTTATATGTATATATATATGGTGGCTTCTATGATACTCCGGGTGAAATCCGGGGTACCGCATACCTCGAGTATGGAAACTCTATCTAGACCTTGAATTACCAGGATTTTTGTGTCTGATATTATACCCTAACCCTTAATGAGTGAACCGTAGGTCATAATTATCTAAATCATAATCTATAAACCCTAAGATGGTGCATTCCTTTTTCTGCCTATATTTGGATGAATCATAACCGTCGATTATTGTTTCTAATTAAATTGATCTTAGAGTATAAGATTGGGAGAGTTAACACCTAGATTTTGATCTTTAAGTGTTAGAGTATAGTATCATGTCCGAAAGATCGGTCAATTCAAGGTCTAGATAGTGTTTTTATACTCAAGGTATGCGGTACCCCGGATTTCACCCAGGGTACCGTAGAACTCGCCATATATATATATATATATATATATATATCTGTCATTGATTGTAGTTTGTTTTTGTTATCTTGGTATAGATGATGTACCGGTCCAAAAAGTGAAGGGGTTTAAGCCTAAAAAAGATTCATTCAAGCCTTCGAAACGACCAATTCCAGTTGCGGAGGCTGCAAGGGCTGTAAGTAAGAAGAAGAGAAAAACTAGCAGGCTTTAGGAGGAGAATTTGAAGGCTGTTGAAGAAAGTTTAAGGCTGAAGCTGTAACAGTTTTCTTAGAGGATTATTTGAATGAATGGTTGAAGCTGGTTAAGTTGTTGAAGCTATTTTGTTCTTTTGGATTGGTTTTGGTTTTGTTGGATATTTTTCTTGTCTTGTTGAATTAATTTTGCCATGTCATACCATGTGGTATAATGTGGTAATTTGATTTTATCATGTCAAACCAGGTGGTAAAATGTGCTATTTTGGAAGTTAAATGTGAAGGTTCTGTTTTATAATTGATTTTACCATGCCATACCATGTGGTATAGTGTGATAGTTTGGAAGTTTTGTGTGATAATTGATTTTACATTTGTCATACCATATGGTATAGTGTTGTAATTTATTTTTACCATGCCATACCATGTGGTAAAATATGCTATTTTGGAAGTGGCATGTGTTGTCCTGTGTGGTAATTGATTTTACAGTGCATTACCATGTGGTAAAATGAGGTAATTTGGAAGCTAAATGTGAGGGTTCTGTGTGATAATTGATTTTATCATGCCATACCATATGGTATAGTGTGGTAATTTGATTTTACCATGCCATACCATGTGGTATAGTGTGGTAGTTTGATTTTACCATGCCATACCATATGGTATAGTGTGGTAATTTGATTTTACCATGTCATACCATATGGTATAGTGTGGTAGTTTGATTTTACCATGCCATACCATGTGGTATAGTGTGGTAGTTTGATTTTACCATGCCATACCATGTGGTACAGTGTGGTAACTGATTTTACATTGCCATACGATGTGGTAAAATGTGGTAATTTGGGAATTAAGAACACATGTTAAGTATTTGCTAACATAATAAAAAACAGAACGTTTTACTTAGTCATAACACACACCATAATAAGTTGTTTCATACCATCCTACTAACTAGAATGAAGTGGCTACTGAACATTTTGAGTTTGTTCTCAAAAGCTTACTACTACTTAACACAAACCATAATAAGTTGTCTCATACCCTCCTACTACTTAACACAAACCATAATAGAATTTTCATCTCCTTTCTTTCAATTCTTCCTCTTGTTCTTCATGTTGCAATACTTTGTTGATTCTTTCATGATCCTATCCCGTTCAAGATTGTCCTCATCCAGAATGATGTCCAACATCAGGCACTCCCTTTCTTCATTTATGAGATCAATCCTCTTCCAGTCTTTGGTCAGGGCACTGTTGTACTTACCTTCCCAGTGTCTCATCCACCTGATGATGTACATCCCACATGACTTGTCATCTGGTTGTGTAACCTTCTCGAGGTTGAACCAGGTAAACTTTTCCCACTTTACTGTCTTCTCTGCAAACTGTGTGTTCATGTAGTTGATTGCGTACTAGACAACCCTCTTTGCCATTGGTTTGTAGTATTCTTCAAAATCTTTGTGACGGAGACTGTCGAGTACTTCAAATCTATCTGCTTTGATGTTGACACAAATCATGATGTAGTGCTTGTTATCACAGTAAGGGAAGAACCACTGCAAAATAATTTTACCACAGTATACCATATGGTAAGCACTTGCCATATAAGTATTGAACAGTAAGTTAAGAACAATTGGAAACTAATTTTACCACTATATACCATATGGTAACCACTGCAAACTAATTTTACCACAATATACCATATGGTTAGGGATGGCAACCGGTCGGTTTCGGTTTAACAGAAAACCGAATTCTCGGTTTTCGGTTAAACCGAGACCTGACCAGAAGCCACCGTCAACCTACCGAAACCAGAGCCCCGGTTAGCCGCAAACCGACCGGGCGATTTTCGGTTTAGGCGCGGTTAAACCGGGGCAACCGACAGATTGATGGGCGGTTCGATTCATTGGCCTAACCGACCGGGAACCGCCCTGAACCAACCGTAACTGCAGAAACCGACTGTGGAGCGGGATGAAGCGATTGACAGGCTGCTTAATATCTCGCTTGGAGAAGAGAAATCGAACTTGTGCTTTGAAACCACTATATCCTTAGGAACAGAATTTTCTATGCGAGCTTGATTTTCTGTAAAGTCAATGCTTGCTTGGCATTTAAATTCCATAAAAAGAATAGCTTCAACCTTGAAAACAGATAATCGAAAGGGCAAGCAAACGAACCCCAAACCCGCGAAACTAAAAACTGGAAGGAAATCCACAAACCCCAGGCGAGATTCGTAGCCAAAGCTTCAAACTTTTGCAGAGGTTTGAACGAACCCAACAACAATGGGAAGCCAAACACCCTGAAAACAAAGACCCAGATTTGATTACAACTAGGGCTGGCCTCCGCCTCGCCGACGAGTTGCCTGGCTGCTGCTGCGGCGGGGTGTCGAGGTGGAGTTGACGGGGCGGCGAGGCGGCAACGATGGTGGAGGGTTGTTCTCTGTGATGGGAAGGCGAGAAGGGGGGAGTGGGGCGGCGTCGGTGGAGGTCGATTGCGAGGGTGGAGTGGACCGACTGCGAGGGTGGAGTCGGCGAGGCGGAGGCGGCGAGCGGGCGAGGTGGAGGCGGCGACGATGTTGGAGGGGAAAGGCTGTTTGTTCTCTGTGACGGGAAGGTGAGAAGGGGGAAGTGGGGCGGCATCGACTGATTTGGGAGGGCCGAGGGTGGAGGCTGGAGGATGGAGCTGCTTAGGGTTAGTGCACTGCTGGGCGGCGTCGTTTAAGGGGGAAGGGAAGGGGTTGGTTAGCAGGTTAACTGCCGGTTTCCGACCCCGGTTAGTCGGCTAACCACCCCCTGCTAGTACCCACCGCCAACCGACCGACCTCTTTAGCTTTGCTTTTTTGGTTAGCCGAAAACTGGTCGGTTCGGTTGAAACCGACCGGTTAACTGCTAACCGAAAACCGTTCTGCCAGCCCTACATATGGTAACCACTTACAAGGTTACATTCTGTGAAGCTGAGGTTTTTTGCCCATTCTTTGTTGGTGATGTCCAAGTCCACTTTTTCGTAGTAATCGTCTGGAGTTAGTAGAGGATTGCCACTTTCAATGTCCAGTTGGCAGTCACCCTGAAAGTTGTGGTTGTTATTATGTGTTTTATATATGTGTTGTCTAAGAACTATTGACAGAATATGGGTGGGGTTTACTTACTACCAAAGATGTAACGAAGAACCACCTTTTGAATTTTCCTTTTTTTGCTTCATTCTTGTTCATTAGATCTCCATACCAGTCAATGACATCAGATGTGATTTCACAGCGAATGTCAATCGACTGTACTGACTCCCTTTTCAGCAAGAATGTTCCATCCTTCCTTCTAAACATTATCTCATCACTGTATAAAAGCACATCACAACAGGACGGATGGTTTACTTTAATTTATCACATTAAACAATAGGTTACCACAACAAACCATATCTTACCACATCTTACCATATGGTAATAAACTAAAACACAACAGGAGTTATGGTTTAATCCATTCTTTAACAACAAACCATAGCTTACCACATCATACCATATGGTATTAAACTAAAACAAAACAGGACTTGTGCATTACTACATTTTGTAACATTAAACCATAGATTTATATAATCTTAACATAGCTTACCATATCTTACCATATGGTATTAAACCAAAAACAAAACTGGAATTGTGGATTACTACATTTTGTATGATTAAACCATAGATTTATCTAATTTTACCATATCTTACCATATTTTACCATATGGTAACAAACTAGATCACTACAGTAAAATCATATAACAGTAGAAGTTTCAAGATGATGACTTACCTCTTGACAAATTTCTTGTTTTTGCATCTTATGTACTCCAGGATGTTGCTGAACATATCATCAGGTGTTGTTTGTGTTGGTGTTGACCATTCAACTGGTGATCTTTGCGATTGTGGAGCAACTGGTTCAACAGTTGGAGTATTCAGGTCCTCTAGGTAAGCATCTATGCATTCACGCACTTCCTCGAGCTGCTCTTGGCTGTTTGTGTACAGATTTGACCATATAGCATATGACTCCTTATGTGACTGTGTGCTTTGTGGCTGTGTTGGTGGTGGTGTTCTTCTTGCCTTCTTTTCATATACATTCATATTCTTTACCACAATTCTTCTTTTGCGAGGCTCTCCTGGTTGATTGGTTGCCGTGGTGGTAGTCAACTTTGTTGGTGTTGTTGGTGTTTGATCTTTGAGAGGGCTGAGATCAAAGGATGGAATGTCATCTTCCCTTGTCACTTTAGGCTTCTCAGCAGCTTTGGTTGTCAATTTTGGAGTCTCTTCTTGAACAACATAATCTGACACCGTTTTCTCGCTGTCAGTTTCTGTAGTCTTTTGTGCAACTTGCCCTGTATTCCCTTCTTCTGTTGTTTCCTTATCAACATCCATTGGATCTGCTGTTTTTGTAGCTCCTTTTTCTTCTGTTTCTTTTGCAGATGTCTGTTCTGGAACTGCTTTCGGGGTGTTCTCTTGTTGTGGTGTACCCTGATTAAGACCTTTTTGAACAGCTGGTGGTTCTGTTGCAACTTTCCCCAGTGGATCTCCTTCTTGGATACTTTCCTTATTCACAGCTCCTGGAGCAGAATCAGCTTGCTCCTTCGGTGTAGATGCAGCAAGATCGACTGTAGATGGTTGTGAATCATCTTCTTTCTGTGTTTGCTCTTCGTTCTCCTCTTTGTTCTGGTCTTTCTTTGCGTGTTTGAATATTTCATTGATTGTTTTATCCAAACTGGCATTCGTTTCTTCATCATTCTCTTCTTCATCATCTTCACACTGAGATTTTTCTCCTTCTGTGGGCTGAACATATTCATCACAGCTTTCTTTCTCAAGATTCTCCTTGTGTCTGATCAGATTCTCAATTTGGCTGTTGTACTGGTCTTTGATTGCTTTCATCATTGCCTTCATTGATGCTTCAAGCAGTTTGATTGCATTCTCAGCCTGCATAATGGGAGTTTTGTAAGATACCATGGTGGTAATGTGTGTATGGTGTATGGTTAGTTACCATGTGGTAATACATGGTATTGGCAATTATTATCACTATTCTCCATTTTTACAACATGAAACCATATCTTACCACATGGTAACAAAGTAAAACAGAACAAGAATTATGGTTTCCTCCATTTTTATAACATGAAACCATAGCTTACCACACCTTACCATATGGTAACGAAGTAAAACACAACAGGACTTATGTTTTCCTCGATTTTTATAACATGAAATCATAGCTTACCACACCTTACCATATGGTAACAAACTAAAACACAACAGGACTTATGGTTTCCTCCATTTTTATAATATGAAACCATAGCTTACCACTCCTTACCATATGGTAACCAACTAAAACACAGAAGGAATTACGGTTAGCATGTATTGGACAACTGTAATATAGATAATTTGTACTTACTTGGTTGAGTGTTCTGATATTCTTCAAATCAAAGTTCAGTGATGATGACTGGTCCGGAGTTTTGTTTCTTTGTCTTTTCGGTGACTGATAGACTGGCTCATTCTCCTCTTCCTCATCAGTTGCATCATCAGCCTCATCATCATTAATGTTGGCAACCTTTTCGGTCTCAGTCAACTCTTTTCCATTTTAGTAGATCTTAATGTTCTCAAAGTTGGTTTCGACATTGAGATCATCATAGTAGCTTACTGTTGGTGTTCGAAGCTGGGTTGAGAATGCCATTTCGTCCAGTTTGTACATGAAGCATACCTTTTTTATGCAGATAGTTGTATTAGTTTTTTCAAAGATTATCATTTGTATGTAAAATATATGAGTAACAAGGTTGAAATGGCCAAGGGAATGGAGACTTACTATAAGGAAGTGAAGATCTGCACTGACATAGAGGTTTGATGATTTCAATCCTTCATTCATGTGATTGAAGAAGTATTTGCACCAGTTGTAACTGGTGAAATGTTTCAGTTCTTCAGTCTTCAAGTACTCAAGCATGTTGAGTTCAGCCATAGGCTCTGAAGTTGGACACAGCAAGCCTCCGGTGACCAGCAGAAAGAACAATTGTAACCATCTCTTACTGTTTGTGGTTGTAGGAAGATCTTTTTCTACCTGACTTAGCTTTACCCTTGGAGTGGATGTTCCATCTACTTCGAGTAAGGTTTCTATTGCATAATCTGCTGCATCGTCCCAAGAAATCATGGGAGGTACAACTTCCCTATTCCCCATCGGCAGACCATATACTCTATGAAAGTCAATTGGTGATATCTTCATGCGTGTCCCGTCAGGTAGCTTGAACGATTCTTTCATTGGATTGTATTTGTTCATTATGAACAGAGCAAAATGATTGTTTATCTTTGTCTGCCCGATTGATATTAAGTCTGCTAGGCCTAATATCTCAAGTTGCGCTTTCCACTCATCTGTTATTGACCTTACAATTGCAGATACTCTTGTTGGGCTGCACCTTGTGCGAAAACTGTGTCTTGGTTTTACCATATTGTACCTGAATGTAGAAATTAGTAATAGTCTGTTAGTATGCTTTTTACCATAATATACCATATGGTACCACAATGGTTTCCTACCATACCAAATCAAACCATATATTTATCACATTTTACCATATGGTAATTACATGAAACCATGTCTTATAACATCTTACCATATGGTAACGAAGTAAAACACAACAGGACTTATGTTTTCCTCCATTTTTACAACATGAAACCATAGCTTACCACACATTACCATATGGTAACAAACTAAAACACAGAAGGACTTATGGTTTTTTGCTATTTTACAACATGAAACCATAGCTTACCACACATTACCATATGGTAACAAACTAAAACACAGAAGGACTTATGGTTTTTTGCTATTTTACAACATGAAACCATAGCTTACCACACATTACCATATGGTAACAAACTAAAACACAGAAAGACTTATGGTTTTTTGCTATTTTACAACATGAAACCATAGCTTACCACACATTACCATATGGTAACAAACTAAAACACAGAAGGACTTATGGTTTCTTGCCTTTTTATAACATGCAATCATCGCTTACCACACATTACCATATGGTAACAAACTAAAACACAGATTTGCTATTTTACAACATGAAACCATAACCATAGCTTACCACACATTACCATATGGTAACAAACTAAAACACAGAAGGACTTATGGTTTTTTGCTATTTTACAACATGAAACTATAACTTACTACACATTACCATATGGTAACAAACTAAAACATAGAAGGAGTTACGGTTTCTTGCCTTTTTATAACATGCAATCATAGCTTACCACGCCATACCATGTGGTAACGAAGCAAAACACAACAGATTCTACACCAGTTCAGCAACGCATGGTAACGATTCAGTAATGTAGCGAGTTTTACTATAATTTTCACATGAAGAGTGACTGAAATACTGTTTCTATTGTTCTATGGATAGATTTCGAAGAAAGAAGTGAGGTTTTACCTTGATATTTTGTGCATAAACTATTTTTGAGCCTCGTTGAAGTTGGAAACCCTTTGTTTTTCGACGAAGAAGCGAGAACAGTGAATCGTTGAATGATTCTTCGAAAACCTTTGCAAAAATCGTTGAATGATTCTGTGTTTTCTGAAGTTTTTGGTGCGCGATTGGATGAAGAATGGAGAGTTAGAGAGCAGAGGGAAGTGGAACTGTCACGTGAAAGGTGAGAGAAAGAAGGAAAGAAGGCGGGCACGGTTTAATGTCACGTCTCCTTTTCAAATTGTCAGATCGAAGATTACTATTTTGCCCCCCGTGTAGTTACTTTGCATGATCTGACGGTTGAAAAGCTGATGGAATGGATGGTGGATAGGGCGGTTACTGATGGTTACTGATGTATTGGTTACTGAGGGGATCCGGACCCCTTGCGGCCAGGGTAGGCAGTTACTACCTGACCCGACGGGTAACTCGGGCTTGTGCTGGAACAGATTACAACTATGTAGTGAAGGATTCAAAAAATTTATATAGGCGTGTTCTCATTCAAAATTTATATTTAATTATTTGATAATTATTAAATAAAAAATATATAATTAGTAAAAGTTACGACAAAAATCAACATGTTTTGTAATATGAAAAAATGATAATTAAAATATCTTTGGTGTCTCACTGCTCAACAAATCTCACTCAATATATTTTACTAAACAATGGTAGCCCGTATTAGAGTTTAAATTTAATCATTAGATTTTGAAAATAATTGAGGATATGAATATCATTTTTATTATGTTTGGATTTAAGGAACAACAACAGATGAGTTGTAATCTAATAAAAACGGTATATACTAATAATAGCAGTGTCTCAAGTTCGAATCAGACAGACTACCACTTAAATATCATTTTTACTTATACACAAATTACAACAGGGGGTTGAATAATCATTGTTTCAAATTTTAAGGTTGTTCAACTACCACTTAAATATTTATTTACTCGTACGCAAACTACTATCAAGGTTGGATAATCATTTTTTCAAATTTTAGAGATGTCCCATGGATCCATCACTTTAGCTATGGGTAACCAAATAAATCCGCTCCGCCCCGCCGACTCCCTAGCCCTCTGCTGAAAATTTCTGCACCATATCTCCTAAGGCCCCGTTTGGATGAGGAATTTTGGTGAGGGATTTGATTAAAATCCCTCATTCTCCAGGATTTGGACACAATTTAGCGTTTGGGAAAGACAAAGAATTTTACAATTAGGAAATTTAAAAACCCTCAATCAAGGGTTTTTGAAATAGCTGATAGACATCAGCTATTTCCAAATCTCTCATCTTCAATATATTTTTCCAAAGCTACCCTCCTCCATCTTCTCCTCTTCTCTGCCAAGCTTCAACAGACAACAATATAACCTCCTCTGTTCCGACTCTTCCATTCTTTTTTCCGACCAGCCACAGGCCCATAACCAACAACACAGCTTCATCGTTGAGAATTTCTTTTCCCTCTCCCTACCGGCTACCGCAGTTGGTTCTGAGTTTTGGGTTCAAAAGAGATAGCAGCGAGGAAGGTTCAAAAGAGATGGATATGGCGTCGAGCAAGGAACAACGAGAAACGTGGAGATCCGGTAGAGCAAAGTCGACGCCGACATCAAGTAAGGAGCAGTGAAAACATCCAAATCTAGAACAACGACGATGACTCGGCGTTGAGTAAGGACTAGAGGTAAGGTGGTGATTCCTCTCCAATTGAAAATAGGCTCCATCAAATCAAACACCCTCTCAGTCCATCAGACCTAGGGGGTGGGTGCACAATCTGGGAAATCTCCTTTACCTATATGTTTCACGTCAATTCTGCACTCTGTCTTTAGTTATTTTCATTTTAGTTTTTCCTTTCTTGCTATACATCTTGCGTGCAATCTTAATCCTGAGTAAGAGATTAATAGAGATATGAGAAATGCAATTTGAATACTCATCGACATCATGTATATGATAAATTTGGTACATCGACTACAACGTCATCAAGTATTCTTTAAGGATTGTAAATCATGAAGGTTTTAGAATTTTATGCTCGAGTTTGACCCCCTATTTCAAGATGGTGACAAGAAATATCATCAAGAAGGACTGTATTGTCATATATGACATTTAAAGGAAAGTTGTAATGCAACTTCTAGAGGTAAATGAAGATTCAGTTGCAATCACAAGTGACATGTGGACTTGTTTCCATAAAAGGAATTCTGGCAATCAAGCACATTACATCGACAATAACTCGAGCTTGCAAAGTTGAATCATCAGGCATATAATTTATATGCCTCTTGTATCATGAAATAACTATTTGCATAGTCTTTTTTTATCATGACATAATTGTTTGGTACTTTGGCTATCACTTTTATCTGCCACTGTGTGAAAATTGCAGACTGCAGACCATGACTTGCTACATATATGTAGTTGCTGGTATGCTGGTTATTATTTCACACTTTCCTGATTGGGTTGTCGCTTCAACTAGATGTTTCTTCATAGTTACAAACTATTTGTTGCATTGCATATATGTGGTTGTCGGTCTGAAGGTTATTATTTCACACTTCCTTAGTTGGGTTGCTGCTCTAACTAGTTGTTTCTTCATAGTTAGAAATGATTTGCTGCATATTTGTGGTTTTTGGTAGCGAGTTATCAGTTCCCACTTTCTTAATTGGGTTGTTGTGAATTATTTCAAACTTTATTAATTGGGTTGTCGGTTTGTTGGCGATCATTTGTTGTTTACTGTCTTACTTAAATTATCGTTTATATAATCATTTTGAGGTGTAATTAGTTCATACAACCAGACTGTACTCATTTGCTGCATATAAGTGCCACTCAGTTTGAGGTGCTATTAGTTGAGAGGCTAAACTCATTTCTGAATTTATATTTGAGGTGTAACTAGTTCACATTCAGTTTGTACTCATTTGCTGCATATATGTGCCATTACTTAATTTCGCATCTTTAGCAATTCTATGCTTTGGATCCTAATTCATTCTCAGCTACAGATTACTTTACCAAATCATCGTATTATTAGTTAACCGAAGAGCGAGCTGAAGAAGAAGAAGAAGAAGAAGAAGAAGAAGAAGAAGAAGAAGAAGAAGAAGAAAGAAAGAAAGAAAGAAAGAAAGAAAATTGGTAACCCATTACTGGATCTGAAACCTTTGCGGTGGCTCGATGTGGTGGTGACATCGCCGGAATGTGGGTAAGAAAAGAGTCGTGGTCGAGGTTTGTGTGTAGCCGATTTGGTTCGATATTTGGGAGGAGAAAGAAGAGAGTCGTTGCTTGTGCAATCCTTCAGTAAAGAGAAGAGATCTACCAACGAATTGATTACACTTCCAACTTGTCACTGATCTTGATAGTGCCATTTTGTCAGATGAAAACATGAGATCATAGCTAGAAATTAACACAACGATCGATGGAGAAGAAAAAACCTTGAATAACAATTCCATTACGTATAAATACCTACATAGTAGTTTACTTGGTAACCAGGAAGAATTCTAGTATTTTCATATGCAAATACAACATCTTGGTTGGCTACACAAATATAGATTGTCTGAATCCGAGTGTTTTGAAGCATCATAGAGTCCAAATTTCATATGGTGCCTCAGGATGTAAGGAGGATGACGTGGTATATGTTTCATCGCAATCGAACCAGAAAAAGGTCAACGACGGCCAATCGTAGTTCATAAATTTTTTTATTAGTGAGCCATGACGCATTTTCATATTCTTAAAGGTTTTTAAAAACTCATTCGTCGTTACATTGTGAATCAAATTTTTTTTCCGATGTACTTAACTAAAATATCATTTATAATTGGTCACTCAACCGATTTTGAAAATAGAAAAGAGTATATATTTGTTACAATTCATTGCGAACTTGTTTTTGTAAAAAATGGGGAAGACACAAAACGGGGGAGTGAAGTTTGTATAAAAAATGCAGGCTTGGACTTTTTTGTTTTGCAAAAGAATGAAGGGAATGAAATTTACACCATTTGCATTGTATTTGACATAAATAAAATAACTTGTTGAATATTTATATTTATTTAGAAATTAAAATAAGTTGGATTTTCAAGACTTCTCATTGTTTTATGCTCCCATTGTAAAGGTGGACTGTAATGTTATATATCCACAATTAAATACATAAAAAACATAGTGTTCTATATTCATTATACAAAAAACACAATCTTAACTATCCGCAATTAATTATATAACAAACATAAAGTTATATATCCACATTAGCTGTATACGTTTTAGTGCTACTCAAACTAATAAGCGTTGCTAATACTTGAAAAGTCGAATTTTCAAGATCATCTGCTCATTGTTTTATGCTCCCGTTGTAATATATCCACCATTAGTTATGTAACATAGTGTTATATATTCGTTATACAAAAAAACACGATCTTATATTTCAATAATTAATTATGCACATTTGAATGCTACTCAAACTTATAACCCTAAGCCTTGGCATCCTCATCCTCATCAATGGACATTAATCTTCATGTAATCACGCGAAGATACTGAAAAACTAAATAAAAATCATTGTTATGTATTGACAGTTATATATGCATTTGAAAGTAAATAGTTAGTCTTTACTTGTGGAGGTGGATTTTGAAAATCCTCCTCTGCATGTACCCACCAATTGTACAGAAAAAGTTATGTGAACATTAAACCCCACATTATAATGTGAGAACCTACACAAATTTATTTTTCATGACAACATGAAAGTTCAATGGTCTAATCAACCTTCTTGCCTAATATCAAACACATTATAATAAGTAACCATATTAAATTATACTCTAGTCTAATTTTTTACATTGTCACTTCCGCTCCATCCGTAACAGAATCTACACATCCTCGTTTAACATCGTAAATCTTAAGATCATTTTGTAGAGAGCCTGAAAAATAAAAACTGAAAAATAGAATTTTATTAAAAATACATTTAATTGTGTACTACTCAACCCGGTAATTGTTCGTTACATGTGGAGCTAGATTGTTGTCGCCATCATTTCCTATGACATAATATATTAGCACCTCGAGCATTAGGAGAATACACATTACCCCGTGTGATACCTGATATCTCCACAAGTGAGATATGGCTGTGGTGACCACAATGTACTACATTTATCAAATGAAATTAAGTATGAGTGTGTTTTCTTTTTTGAAGTAGTAGTTTTTTCCTATTAAGTTGAAAGGGTATAAGATGGAGAGAGAGAAAAAACATAACTTATCCCGCTGTAGATTGGCCATAGACAAGCGGCCATCTATGATGTGAATAGACAACGCACCACCACCGACTCTATGTGGTGGCCATGAAATCCAGAAGGGAGATGGCTGCTGTAATTGCAAGGAGCAGGACAGACAACCCACTGAGGATTACCATTATCCCCACTCATGTTGTATTTGGCACAACGTATATACATGTATATATACGTTGTGTCAATCAGGATCACAATCACATTGATCACAAGTAGTAACCTGTCAGTGCTGGTGATGAACGAGAGCGAATGCCTGTATATAACGGCTTATTAGTATGTCTTTTTAAAATAATTTACTGCTATCTACTTTATAAATGTTTATATATCCATTATATAAAAATTATGTTATATTTCCACAATTAGTTATGCACGTTTGAGTACTCCTAAAACTTATAAACAGTTACTTGATACATGAAGAGCCAAATTTTCAAAATCATCTTCTATGGGCCATCATTGTAACCTCCACCATGTTATATATCTAACAAACATAATGTTATATATCCAACATCAATTATATAACTAACAAACATAATGTTATATATCCATTATATTACAATTTCAAAATTGGAACTAAATAAATTTAAACTTACAGTAAAATGTATGCTACGCCAGTAAATCCCATAGGACAAACAAAAAAGCTCCTCTAAAACGCAGTTTGATATTCCAAAAAGTGAGATATGGTTGATGGAGTGTGTGGTGACGTCAAGGAAATACATTACCAAATGAAATTAAGAATTAGCGTGATTTCTTTTTCAAATTAGTAGTTTTTTTTCTATTAAGTTAAAAAGGTATAAAATGGAGAAAAAAAATATCTTATGTACCCCATGTAGATCGGCCATAAACAAGCAGTCATCTGTGATACGAACAGAGTATCTCCACTGGCTCCCTATGATAGGCCGTGGAATCCCAACAACGAGACGTCTGTTGAAATTGAAAGCAGAAACACAAACAAGCCACAGAGGATTGCTATTATCGCTCGCCGGGTTGGATTGGCACAATGTATATACATTTATATATACAAATAGGTGGAGATGCCGCGTCTTTGTCGCGGAGCGGAGATGACCTATGGGCATTTATTATGTGGCCTGTTATGGTGTTTTGTTAGTATTACGGGTGGTGTATGTATGGGTTTGGAAATTTGTAGATGAGTTTGGGTAGGATATGGATATTTACTTCCATAATCTAAATGAGTATGAGTTGGGTATGGATAGTCATTTATTCGAATGTGTTTTAATTACACATAAAAAATTAGACCTATTTGTGGAACTTCAAAACCAAAATGCAATACACAAAATTTTAGGTACTAAAATATAATGTTCCAACAATATTTTGAGGACTTATATGCCAAAGAGAAAATTTATGTTATAAATACAAAGATGTATTAAATTTAGGTACAGAATTATAATTTACATAGTTGATGCTTAATTCCTTTTATGGTGATGTAAAATATACATCATAGTGACTAAGTTGTGTTTTAATTAATTTTGGGGTATGAAAAAATAAAATGTAAATTATAGTGACTAAGTTGTCATTTAATTAAATTTGGAGTATCAAACTAATTTTATAATTTTATTTTATGGTGGATTGAATTCATGTATTGGTTCAAAAAGATTGGTGGATTGGAATCAAGGATTCAAGTGAAATCAAAACATTGGACCAATATGTAAATTTAAAAATTATAGGTACGAAAATCTCATAAAATTAAGATACCAAAACATAATTGTTCAATAATTTACATTATAGTGAGTAAGTTGTGTTTTAATTAATTTTGGGCATGAGAATGCAAAATATACATTATAGTGACTAAGTTGTGTTTTAATTAAATTTGGAGTATCAAAATGTAAAATGTATATTATAGTGATTAAGTTCTAATTTAATAAAATTTGGGGTATCAAAATAATAAATATACATTAAAATGAATAAGTTGTGGTTTAATTAATTTTAGAATATGAAAATGTAAAATTTATATGACTAAGTTGTATTTTAATTAAATTTGGAGTATCAAAATGTAAAATGTATATTACAATGATTAAGTTGTAGTTTAATTAAATTTGAGGTATGAAAATGAAAACATTTATGCAACAGTAAACTAACTCCACTTTTATATATAATATAATGTTCAAACCAGGATGGTAACCCATTTTATCACAAGCAGTAGCCCGTCTTTGCTTGTAATGAACAGGAGGGAGTGGCTGTATATAACTGTTATTAGAGTAGGCGCTCGAAAAATTTGATCACCCTTTGTGATGGTGAAGAAGAGACGTTGAGGATGTAGTTCGGGCTGCACATCCTCTTTACGTCAGCACTATAATGACGATCAACTTCCTCTTGATGCCGAGGATGGAGTTCGTGCTCCACAAATCATACAATGAATAGTTAAATACTCACACGGGAGAGAGGACAGTCCTGACTCCAACAACAGTACCTGCACCAGGTCAAAGACCAAAAAAAACTAAGTCAGATACCTGATAACTCATATAATAAAATTCAT